AAGAGACGCCACGTTCTTTCGTGGCCAGTGTTTCTAGGCAGCCTGCAAAGACAGATTCGAGCATCCGATGGCATGACCATCCACTAAAGGCCGGGAAGAGCATTTTTTACCAAAGTATATTGGAACCTCACAGCCGCGTGCCATAGTGCAATTTTGGTTTTGACCGAACCAAAACTGGAGCCTCAGAATCGTATACCACCAACACAGTTTCGTGTTGATATCTTCCCTTCTGCTAACTGTGCCGGGCACTCATCGCTGGAGACTTGTGAGTTCAGATTAAAGCCAGATGTTGTCACTGGTTCATGGAAAGACACTCTTGATAGAGTGGCAACCTCCAGATTCCAACTTAGAAGACCCCTGCTTCAAGTGCCGACTTTGGTGATGTTCTTTATGGGGGGGGGCAGGGGCCCACCTGTAACCGCCTATCGATATTCGACCGGCTCATTACTCCTCTTCCTACTTTTATTCCTGCTCCTATTCACCACCACTACCACTACCACTGTTACTATTACTCCTGCTGCTCCTATTGCTCCTACCACCCCTACTGCTCTTATCATTCCTACTCCTACCCCTTTCCTAGTCCTACTCCTCCTCCTCCTCCCTCCTCCTTCCTCCTCCTCCTACTACTACTATTACTACTACTGGCTATACTGCCTACTGCCTACCGCCCATTGGCTGGCTGCTAGCTGTTGCCCCGACTACCACGACTGGTCACTCCCGCTCACACTCAGGTGCCTCTTCATCGATTCTTACCTCTTGTAATGGCTCCTCCTCCTCCTCCTCCCCCTACTACTACTACTACCACTACTACAACAACTACTACTACTACTACTTCTTCTTCTACTTCTACTCCTGCTTCTACTTCTACTTCTACCACCACTGGATTACTATTAGTATGACTACTCCTGCCACCACTACGACGACAACTACTACTACCTCCTCCTCCTCCTACGACGAGGATTACTAGTACTATTAACTACTACTAGTGGATTCTTTTCTGTGACCACTTTTCTCTGGAAGGCGAAAAGCTCGAAGAACTGAGAAGTCTTGAACCGCTTCACTGGGGACTCTCCGCATGGAGTGAAAAAGATTGCAGAGAGTGTGCGGCAGAGAATTGGTTGGAAGCCATTAGTAGGTTGGAGTCCTGATATTATTATTATTTTTTCCAGCCCCTTAAGCAAATCCAAGTAGTACTGCGCTAGACGACGGCCCATGTCTTGACCATTTGCCCATCCAACACCCAAATCTTTTGAGTCTGCTCTTGCGTCCTTCCCATGTCACTCTGAAGATTTCTGATAACTAAACATTGGCCCATTGGCAACAACTGCAGAAGTCTAGAGCCGCAACAACAACATCTCCAGCAGATCAACAGGCCCCTGAAAAGGTCCGCGCTAGACACCTCTCACATTTTTTGCAGTTGACATGCCTTCATGTTTAACATCCCTGTGGCTTGAATGTGGTTGGAGCTTAAAGGAGACTTAGAAGCGGCCCTCCTGGAATTGCGATGAGTGCACCATTTTGGGAAAAGACATTTTGGAAACCAACCATGTAATATTACGTACACACATGTCGAAACCCAAAAGGTGTGCAAACACATGTTGAATTAAACATTTTGCAAAGCTTGCAAAGTTTTTGGGGTTCAAAATTCAATATTCAAGATTCTGGGGACAAACTTTTGAATCCAAGCCCCTATTACTGCCCATTATGTGACTATGATGCCCAGTGGTGCAAAGAATTTGAACACCAAAAGGAAACCTTTCATCAAGATAAAACAAATTCATCCAGGAGAGTCTTGAACATTAAAATTACTGTAACCAAACAGTAAATATTTTGACATATTTTGACAAAGAGAGCCAACATTTCATAGTTGTGTTGCTTGTAAATGTCCTCAAGTTTGGCCTTATCAATGGAGACCACTCATAAGGACTGAAACTAACACATACATACAACAAAGCAGGTAAAGTATTTCTTAGGATCATCTAATGTTCAGGTGTTTCTGCAAAATGCTATCTGTTTCACAATATGCCTTCCACACCCAAAAAGGTAGGTCTCAGGCGGGTATATGAATACACACATATGAAGCCTATACCACACCCACTGATCAGCAAGAGATGAGAAAGTGGCAAAACTGAGTGCTTAGGAGACGCGGTTGACATCCCCACCAGTCCAGGATTGACAGCCATAGATGAGTGTAGCAAACTTGATCTAAACCAAGGCAGACGACACCCATGGCGCGTCGATCACCCTTGGCGCAGCAGCCAGTCATGTGGGACGGCGCCTGGAAGTGGAGGCGCGAGTCATGTTTTTTCTCTAACACAGAAAACTACTGGAAAAATAATAACAAAAACCGTCATGCCTGTGGCAGCTATCCAAGATGACAGCATCATCCATTGTTACCGGCAGCGCGCATAATTTAAACCGCACAAAGAACAAGAAGGTCTCTTGTTATTCATTGGTTTTGTCACCGAAGTCGAGATTCACTCCTTCAGCCAGGCGTTGCTCGGGAGATGTTGATGCGGTGCAGGCGGCCTTGGTGTTTTGCTTCTGAGCGATGACAGTACTTATTCTAAACATATGCCACAATGTCTCCTGAGTGAAAACCCTGTGCTCTGCGCCTTAATGGTGAGAAGACCGCCGCTTCGGAGATCCTTCTTTATCAATCGATTCTGTTGGCATTCACCATAGCTGATACCAGTTCTTGAAACAAAACTGGAAATCCATGGATGTTCTTTTCTTATTTTTCGCACCACTCAGACCGCAGTTGAGAGATGTCAGTCTCGACATTCAGCCACTGTTCAGCCCCTTCGCCCAGGGCATCTTCCGCAGAGGTGGCGGGTGAGTGAGCCGGTTTTGGATTTCTCCACGTCGCTGGGCATAGACTTCCAAAATCATGCAGACAACCTTACTAAAGTATACTAAAGTCGAGTTTTCGTGGTCGTCACTGCGAAAAAAGACGGATTGAATATTGTAGTTGGTGTGGTGCAAGTTGCAGTTTTGGAGCTTTCCAGGGCCATCTCGAATGTTAGTAAGTCACCTGACCCCCTGGCTGGTTCTTGATAAGGACGTGCATGATTCTCCCACTCAGTAAGTGAGAAAACCAGTGCCTTTTTTTCCCACGGAGGCTCGGATGGCCGGCTCGGATGCATCCCTGGCGTCGGACCACACGGAGGACGGCCGGCGTTCCGCCTCTGCCGCTGGTTGGATCGTTGGAGTTTCTCGTCACCTCCCGACGGTCGAGACGAGACGCCAAAGAGGGATCGTCTCGCTCTCGCCATCAGGGGGAGCGGGGCATATGGGTGGGGCAGCCAGGCAGCCACTAGGCAGCCATAAAATGCCATAAATATGTTCGCTACTAGGAACAAGTGCATCGCTTCCAGTAACAAGTGCCTTACTAGTAGGAACAAGGACGCTAGTAGTAACATTAGGCAGGTGTCAGGTCTTCTCTTCGTCCTTTCACTCAGGCACCGAAAGACCGGAAAGGACCGAGCGGCGGAATAACCACCTGACTTGAAGAGGCACTGGGACCCGGGTGCTTTCTGAGCCTCCAAGGTTTTGGCAGACCATCCCAGCGCACTTTTTGGTTCATATAGATGTTCACAGTCTACTCTACCTTCTGAATTGGGATGAAACCTTGGCTACTTTCATAGATGTAACTAAATTTGTCTCTAACATGTCGTGCCATGGCAAGAGATAAGCCAGCAGGCCAGGGCAAGCTCGCTTGCATGAAGCCTCTTCTCATGGATGTTTTCGATGGCGCTAGGGTCTTTTTGGCTCGAGGAATTCTCATGTCATAGGGTTTACCCTGTTTCTCCCGACTTCTTCCTCTGCCCTTTGTGTGAAACGCACTGGTGAGAGGGGAAGCGAGACCACGATTTTCATTTTCCATGGAGGATTTGGCCGCGCCAGTGCCGCATGAGCGACCGGAGCGATTGAACAATCTTGCAGTCCCCGGGCGAGAAACGAACCCCAGGGTTCAGCTTTGGAGGGGCGTTGGCTGTACATGGTCTGAATGATAGCCCCTTCATTCCTGGAGGAAGATGGGACCCGATCAAAGGGATCGTGTTGCCAAGATGAGTTCCCTTTTGCCATGTACCTTGGAACCAAATGCATTGGGTTTGACCCCTCTTTGACCTCCGCCGTCCAAGCAGGCGAGTTGTGTCCAGCGTTCGAAGCCAAGAAACCATGGAGCTCACTGGTTTGGTTTGAGCATCCGTGAACCACCTGGTCCATACTGGAAGGCCCAGGCCCCACTCCAGGCTCCGGGGCCTACGGGTGCTCGCAAACCCGTGCTCGGAACCCCCGAAACGCGTGCGCACGGGCGTACGGATCTATACACTGATGTTCGCATGCCCGCAGAGCGGTGCAATCGGTGCGTACCATGGACTCTAAAGACTTTGAGTAAATGACACTCGTTTCGGGAGAAAGACAACAAGCCCTTTCCGGGGTTTGTTCCGCATTTGCTGGCCCCTGAGATATGGAGGTGCAGGTGTATACACATTGCCCAGACAATCCATGTGTGACAGAATTAGCTGCATGAGCCTTTGAAAGCACCGCATGTACGGAACCAAGTTCGTGAACATCACTTGCGCTTCCCTCATAGACCTAGGTCACTCGGAACGGGCTTCTTGGTCACAGCACTTGCCTTTGTCTTTTGGCGGCCGCAGCAGCATGTTTTCCTGGACCGGATTTGCATCACCGAAAGTGATCCGCAGCTCAAGGCAGAGCAAATCCTAAGCCTCGCAGGGATGCTGAAGCGCTCCCGGGAGATGTTGGTACTTTGGGACTCAAGTTGGAGTGATCGCCTTTGGTGTTTGTTCGAACTGAGTGCCTTCCTGAAGAGCAAAGCTGATAGTGAGCATTCCCGGTTGCTGGTAACACCTACCTTTATGGGGCCGTGTGTCGTTGCCACCTTCTTGGGGATGTTCCTGGCTGTGGTGCCACTGACGACTTTCCCGCTCGATGCTTCTTTTCTGATTCCCATGGTGTTCGTGTGCGTCTTTGGAGCGTTTGGTGCTTTATGCTGCGCCCACGCCTTCCGTTCCTACTTTCAATCCGTGGATGACCTAAAGGAGAAGTTGCAAAGCGTCAGCTTGGAAAGGACCAGAAGTATTTGCTGCGACCTGAACCACGAGGGCGACATGATGTGTGACCGCGAAATCGTGAAGGATTGCATCACCATGTGGTTCGGCAGCCAGGAGGCCTTCGAAGACTGTGTGCGTTCCGAGGTTTTAGAGACCCTCACATCGGAGCTGGAGCAGGTCTTCACCCGACCATGCCGGATCGCCGTCACCGGGCGGGGTTTGGGGCGAGCGAGACAAAAGACGGGCTGCAGCGGGTTTGCTTGATCGGGACTCACAAGCACTGTGCATGGTTTAATATCGTACAGTTTATACAGTTATGCAGACATATATAAACATGTTTCAGGTCTGGCAGGCTTGGGTGAACATGTATTCATTACTGCCATAGGTTTGAACCAACGAATGTTTTGGCTCAAGTGACTTGGCCAAAATAGCGTTTGTTCTCTCTTTTTGAGGGCGGAACCCTTGGAGAGACAGTTCTTTTTTGTGCAGGGAGGGACCCTGTTTTCCCATGAGCGAGTTGGGAACAAGCCTTGCTGCCTACACCAGGTGCCAGGTGATCCATGCCGCCGCGTGGATGGAGTTCAGCGCTCACCTTCAGGAGCTGGTTGCTGAGGGGCGCGAGCGGGAAGCTTTGCGCCTCTGGGCCTCCGTGGTGGAGTTGGTGCATCTGGGGTCTCCAGGGCAACCCCTCTCCATCGCTGGGTTCCCCCCGGTTCGTCGGTTCGTATGTACCACCATTCCGTGTGCAAGGTGCACCGACCGTCGGGGCGGCTTCCAGTTCCCATGGGTGGGCGTATGGAGCCGCCGCTGCTTGCTGGTTCAAGAGGGACTTGGGCCAGCGGTCGCGTGGCAGCGTTACCATGCCTCTGCGGCGCGCTTGGACCGCCTGGCGCTGCAGTGGATTGCCTTTGACCTGGGCCCGTTGGACATCTTGCCGGTCCACGTTGGTTTGGCCGTGGAGCGGCTGGACGACGGGGACGATGGCATCGACACCGAGGAGTTCTTCGAGCTGGTTCGGCTTTGGCAGCAGGGGAGGCGGCCATGGCGGGAACCATGGTCGTTTGTGGTTGGGACCCCAGGTATTCCCCGTGAAGTCGCGAATGCAGGCCGATCCATCCGTGCGATCCTGGGGGCCGTGGCCTATGACCTCGAGTACATCCCCCCCCTCTGCCTCCTTTGTCGCCTGCCCACGTTCGAGTCCTGTCGAGTCTGTCGATCGATCGTTTGTGCGAGCTGCAACTTCTGGTCACGGCAGTGCCCGTTGTGCATCGACAGTTCTGGCTCAGACTAGTGCGATCGTCCTTGCAGGGCTCATGGCTGACAGGGGGCGCTACGCGGTCGAGTCAGCGGGGAGCTCCAGGTGGGACCCGGAGACCTCGTCTGAAGTGGCCCAAGCCGCCCGTGTTCGCGAGTTCAGGGAGCAATACCACCTCTTGGACGACGCGGACTTCGCCTTTGCCTTTCGGTCAGCGGAAGAGGCCTTCTTGGCCGGGGGCCGGGGATTGGCCGATGCTTGGACCAAGGCCCGCTCCGAGCAGACTGAGGAGCTGATGCCGTTGGCGGCCTCTACAGTGGAAGCTGGCTCGAGTCGTGACAGGCCGGCACATGCTCTTCACCTACCCGCTCCTCCAGTGCCTGTTCGGAAGGGAGTGACCCTTTCGCAACAAGCCTTCAGTGCTGACAGTGTGAACAGGCGAGTGGAAGCGCTGGCCAAGGTGTTTGAGGACGCCGGGATTCATCGCCCTTCCGTGGGGAACCTCTCAGATGCGATCCTAGCTGAGTGGAAACTGCAACTCACTCGATTGGCGCAGGTCAAAGTGACCAAATCGGAACCTCAGACAGTGGTGAACGCTGTGCGCACGTGGTCGGAATTGGTCAGCTTTATGCGTTCTCGAGATAGGACTACGATAGAGCATTTGGATTTGGCGTCATTCCTGGCCTCCGGCTCCAAAGGACCCAAGCGGGCATTGAACTCGCTTCGCTGGTTGAATAAACTGGGGCATTTGGGGTGGCAGTTGGATGCGATCGTGCTGGATCCACCTGCCTCACGGCGGGCAGCTGCGCGATCCCAGGCTCTCGTTGTCGAGCCGCCCATGCTCACCCACTTGGAGCGTGGCATCAAGGAAGCCTTCATCCGACAGGACCCTCGCTGAACTGCGATGCTGGGAAGTTGGATCGTTGGCGTAGGGGTACTACGCTACCGGCATGTCCAACACGCTCAGATGGTGCGATTGTCCCGCTCAACGATGTACTGCCATTGCCCCAAAGGGAAGCAGGCGAGCAAACGTGATGGCTTCGACTTCTCCATCCCTTCGCAGTTCACAGATGGCTGGCCCTGGGCAGAGCATGTGGTGGCCCTTCGGAACCAGTTGCCCGAGGCCCAACGAGATGAAGGCGGCCTATGCTTCAATCGGGAAGGCCGCGCGTGGGACATCTCTGAGGTGCAAGCCGCAGGTCGTGAGCTGTTCCAGGACCTTGTGACCGACGTGGCCGACCTCTCCACCTACTCGTGGCGCCGGCTCATGCCCACGGTGGCGTTGCTGGCCAAGTACACCCCGGTTGAGATGGTGGCCTTGGGGGATTGGCAGTCCAAGAGTGAGCTACCTCAGGAGGCCGCCATGCCGACACACTACGCAGGCAGCCGTGATCTCGTGAGCATGAGGCTCAAACATCTGTCGCTGGGGCTTGTCGCCAGGTTGGGCGAATTTGATGCCTGGGAACTGGCAACTCCAGCCGCCATCACTGCCGCAGTGGACGCGGCCAAGCCCGAGGTGCAGCGGGCGGTGAGCCTCGACAAGCACAGCTTGTGGGACAAGCCGATGTCGGTGGCAGCAGCGCAGCGCGCGTTCGCTTTCTCGCGAGAGCGTGCAGCGCTCACAAGAGCGGCGCAGGCTAGTTCCAAGCGCTCCGAAGCTGTGATGCCCCCTTCCATCAATGGTAAGGTGGTCACCCGTTTCCTGAGGAACGGCAAGGCGCTATGCCCCAACCTTCCAGTTGGACGCCTGCCACGTGGGCGAGGGGACCTGTGGTGAAGCCCACCTTTGTGCCATCGTGCTGAAGACTGGCCGTGCCTGCGGAGGGAAGCATCCAGCTCAGGCTTGCTTGGCAAAGCGCTATGTGGTGGCCGAGGATGTCGAGCATACCCCTCTGGCGAACGTCGCAGTGCCCAGCACCGCAGAGCCAGTCTCTCTCCCCGTGGCCGACGTTTATGAGGCACCGCATCGATCATCATCGCCAGAGAGCACCTCCAGTGAAGATGAGTCCTCACACTAAGCAGCCCCCCAAGTTATCATAGTTATAACTTTAGTTATAGCACTTACTGAAGTTAAAAATAAGTTATAAGTAAGTTATATGAAAGAAAGTGTAAGTAAGTTATAAGAAAGTTGTAGAAGTTATTAAGTTGCTTAAGTTGTTTGCGTTGCCAAAAATCAGGG